GCATCACATGACCATGATTTGCAATCTTCCCAGCCGGCTTCCAAGCCAATTGGAACAAGCAAAGTCAATTGGGGAAGCTGGATTCACTGAATGACCACAGTAATTTACTTAATATCTGTGGTGATTAACTTAATAACTGCAGTAATGATGGTCATAAAATCAAGTTTGGTCATATGATGACTCTTAACAACTGCATTGCTTAGTGACTGAAAGTCTCAAATATAGTTGTAAGTCAAGGACTATCTGTAACAACTACTGATTGAACTATCATTTCATGACAATTCAAACATTCCAGGGTAAATGTATGAACTATTAATTATCAGATTTAGATTTAAATATGATTATTCTCCTTAATTATTCTTATGTAAAAAAATATATATTAGGAACAATAATTAAACAACTATAAAAGGTATTTTAAAGCATGCGGAATGTGTTGCCCATAAATGAAGTAAAATGCTCTGGCCCTGCTTTGTTTGAAGAGTCCATGCCAATTGCACCCCAGGCCTTTCACTCTGCAGCATTTGCACAAGAGAGCAAAGGACCAATTTCTATATTTATTTTGGGAAAAAGTCAATAAGAGATTCTATGTCAATTCTTTATCACTGTGTCTTCTAAATGGATAAATGTACCACCAAAAAGAACCTTTCTCTTCTTCTTTCAATCTGACAAAACAGAACCCTGAGCAAAGACTCACCTGAAGCTTTCAGCATTCAGAAAAGGCCTTCCACTCTGCAAGGTTGACAATAATTCAACATTTGACCTACTCACGCAGTAGGCAGGACATGCTATTGGAAACCCTTCTTCTCTTTCCTGGGCCCTGCCTGATTCGACATCCTTTACCTGGGTTTTTTTTTTAGTGGAAGTTAGGTCTATTAGCCAAAATCCATTAATTGATAGATTTCAGCAGCAATCATTAGTTGTGTTTCTGACAAGGGAGCACACATACTTTTTTAAAGACCACTCACTCATACAACTCACATATTGCTCAGTTAGCAAAGAAAAGCTCTAACAATGACTTAACCATATCAGAAATGAGCATGGAAACCAAGCCTAAAGTATTAAAAAAAATAAAGCAAAGCCAAACCTGAAGACCCAATGTGATGGGAAGAAGAGAGTGTACAAGTTGGCAGTCATTTTCAATCTAGAATTCCTCTAGTCACGTTCAAGAAGGAATTGCAAATGTCTAACATTATCTGCAAAAGGACCCTTGATATTTTAAAATGGGTTAAATTTACTTGGTGGCAGAATTCACTATGATTTAGGTCTTAACTGAATGCCATCAGTACGGCTCCTGAAAAACATATAATGAAAATTCATGCCGAGTATGCTCTTTTCAGAACAGTTTCTTTCAAGCTGTAAGCAACTAATAGTTCAAGATATGCTAACATGGAGATAGTTTTACCATGGATGCTTTATACGGGTCTTTGTGTGTTGTGACAGGATAGTAATTAAATAAATAAATAGACTTAAGAAATTATATTATTTCCATAATTATCTTATCTATGGTAAGTTGTTGACATAATATCAATTTCCCAACATTATAATTAGATTCCTTTGAGCTGTCATGAGTGAATATTTATTTTCAATCTATTGTCTAGTTTGTTTGTTTTTTAAAATGGCAGGGTGTTACACTTAGAGAGAAATAAAGATGTTTTTCTGAATCTGCAGGAAACATGTTCTCTTTATACCTCTCTCAATGTAATGGTGACAAAACATATAAGCAAAGAGAACATACATCTATTGTGATGACGCTGTAGGTAAAAATAAAATAGCCCTTTGTTTTGCATCGCCTCATAACTGTGGCTAAGTAACTAACAAATTGCCTTTCCATCACCACCATTCAAATGCTCTGTGGAACAATAAGATCTTAATTGCCTTCCTAAAGGCAAAGCGATTAGTGGCATTCTGTTTCCTTAGGACCTCAGGTTCCACTCTGCTCACTTTTCATGCAATGCAAACCCTTGGCATATCCTCCCAGAAAAGTATGCACAAGGTGGGCTGAATCTTGTCAAGGAAGATGATCCTGTAAATACCCAGGAACCAAACTATGGAGAGTTTTAACATTGACAATTAGCACTTTGAGGTGGACCTAGGGGCAATTAAAATAGCAATGTACCAATACTATCATTAGTGTTAAGGTAGAGGAGAGAGAGTATGGCCTTGAGGGACTGGAGGAAGAATCACTGCCAAGGTAATCATCAAGTAATCAAAATCCCCAAGTCTGGCCTAGAATTCTAATGCATGTAAACTCACAAGCCCCTCCCTACTTCACACAAGGGTAAAGGAAGAGAGGGGAGAGGTGCACTCAGATTTTCAAGGACCTATTACTGTAACTTTAAAATAAAAGTAATATTGATCTTCATGACTTTGGTTTCCTAGTCTGGTCTATCTTGAATGGCTAACCATTACATTGTTAAATCTGCTAAATCACCCAGTTAGCAAATAAACAGACAGTACAAGTATTAGATTCTAAGTCACCTTAAAAAGGCAATCCAATATTAAGTGGCTGCTGTGGTCTAACTATGAGGTGATTAGGACATCAGTCACTATTGTCCTGGCCTCGTAGTCCAAAAAGACCAATAATTGGTACACTAGCCAAAACTGGGTGAAGGAACTTCTGGCCAGGGCCTCCACCTCCTGCTCTAGCAAGAGCCACAAGGCCAGGAGAATCTTCAAATCAAAGACCTACTTTCTTAGTGAGAGACCACATGCACAGTCAAAGTTAGATCGAGCTAGACCAAACATGAACAAACAGTAACTTCTTCTTGCAAAGTTTTGATCCATCTGTCCTTCACAGACTGGTCGTCTCCATTTTATAACTAAAATTGTATCTATCTTTAGTTTGGATTAAAGTAGATATACAAAGAATGCAAGAAATCCTATAGCCTAACACAAGGGAAGAAATAGAAGAGTAGAAAAACCTAAACTACCAACTTCTTCCTCTTTCTGAAACCCCTTAATTTTCCCTTTACCTATACATTCTGGCCTCTTCCACATATATGCTTACATATGTATACTTACCAACATATCTACTACTGTATTCTAGATCCACTCTAGTAGTAATTGAGGGGCCAATTTCACAAAATGCCTCTTTACCTAAGCTTAACATGTATTACTACATGACAATGCTGCTAATATTAAAATAACTTAGACAAGTGTAGAAAATAAGTTTTGAGGTTTTTATGGTTTATTTCTATTATGAATTCGTATCTCATATTTATTAAAATTGATTTATGTATTTATTTTTCTCTGTAGATGCCAACATAGGACACTGCTCCAATAACTGGGAAAGGGAATGAATGAGACAAAGAGAAGGAAAAGAAGGATTCAAAGAGTGATTGCATTTGAATAATAAAAAAGGGAATGAGTGTGTAGGATATATGATAAGCATGTTTAAAAAGCAAGTGCAACAGAAGCTTAGTTTTGTTATTCCCTTAAAATATGTTTCCACTGACAAAGAGACATGCCACATATAAAAGTGAACCAGATCCATACCAATAACCATAAATGTGTAGATATAAGATCAGTGACTTAGATTGAGTATATTTTCTGTGAAACATCTTGGTAGAGTAGATCCCAAAACTTATCCTATAGAAATCTGCTTATCTATCAGCATTTTCAATAAAATGATTAGCTTTTTGTTCCACTCCATCAAAGTTGCAGTTGGTGATCATCATAAGCCACAGTCGCCTTGCTAGTACACTACAAATTTGAATATTCTACTGTCTGACTGTAGCTCACATTACTTGAGCAACTACTCTTAAATCCAACAGTTGATTTGCTGTGCTGTTAGTATGCTGACTTGGAAAGAAATCTTATTGATTTATTTGGTAGTTAAGCTTAAACATGCATGCTTTGGAAATAATGACTAATTGGCTTAAATAAAAGCGCATTAATTTAGCAAGCATGTCGAACAGCTATGCAGCTCAATACACAAAAGACAATTCTTTTACATTTATTAGTTGAAAATTTGTAAATGGTGGAATATTATAGAATCCTAATTTGGAAATGTTTTTGAATTAATTGCTTATTTACTGCAAAATGCTTAAAAGGCGTAATAATTTTCAACAATTTCCTGGGACAGGTTTTATGAGATGATACAATCAGATTAAGAAATGTTCACACTGAAGTTCTTTTCTGATATAAAATACAGAATGGCACTATAACTTTGACATTGAAATAAAATTGCATGGCAGTGGTGTTCGTTTATTGTGCAAATCCTTGAGGAACTGACATAGGACTGTGTTGGCAAGCATAAAATCACAGACTGGGTGTGCGCTTAAATGTCTTGTGAGATGGTTATTGACACAGAGAACATCTTGAGTGCAGGCTGGACTTCTACAGTTTAATGAGGAATAGACTCAATCTGGAAACTGGACAAGATTTTTTTCTTTCGTTTTATAAAAAATTACTTATTCAAACTCTTCAGTGCTGTGATATTGAAGAACAAATAAACAATAAATTAAAAATAGGCAAAAATATTTAACAAAGGGGGAAATTCTCAGGGTTTTTTTTTTGTTAACATTGAATTTCATTATTACAGCATACAGGGTAAATCAAATCCATTCCTAAACATTGTTTGGTTTGTGTGGTGGTGGTGTAAATACTGCTTTTTAAAAAGAAGTTATACGTAGGTGTCTCTTCAGCCAGCTTCACATTCAGGAATAAAATACCAAGTTCTATAAGTAAATAATATAGGTCTTAGGTAAATATTGGGCAAACTTCATATTAATATTGACTATTTTTATAAAGAACATACTATCTACTTCAAAAACCTGCTTCTGCCTTCTTTCATACTTAGCCAACAACAAATCCATTGTCTATTTGTGAGAGTAGCAATTCTGTGCAGCTTGTCAGCACTTTAGCACTTGAATCTTAGTCTCAGACCATTTGAAACTTATTTTGGGCAGGCAGAGAAATGTGGAATATGACAGCATGCAGATGAGCAAGGATATCTGCAGTAAAATCTATGCTTTCATTAAATAACAGTTCTCATTTACCTGAATAATCTTATCACCAGGCTGAAGCAGGTTTGATGCAGGTCCATCAGGCTGAACCCTAGTAACAAAGATACCCTACAAATCAAAAGCAACAGATATTAGACAACTAAGAACTTTAAAGATGTTCTTCGGTTATATATGTTAATCTATAATTTTATTGGATTGGAAGCCACAACCTCTGAAACTTTCATACATATGTATGTTTTCTGTGTTGAGATATCTTTGTCAGTCTCTCACAAAATGAAACATAGATTTATATCCTATTAACAGTTGCTATATTGTCCTGAATAGTATATTTTGCTATTAAAACAAAACAGTATGAACAAAAAATGTTTAAATATTAAATTGTATTCTTGAATTAACATGTGGAAGAAACAGAATTTCAGATCATATCTATTGAATGTACTGTAGGAGATGACCAGGTTGAGCCTGAGGTAGACATCAAATGCACCATCAGTCTAAAGTCCCTTCATGCCTACAAGAGAGGTAAGTTCAGTCTGCCTTGAATTCCACTGACTCTTATCTACTGCCTATTTGTTCTGACCATTAGCAGGTCAGATTCTTGTAGACAGCATAACCTTGCAATAAACCTTTATATTCTTTGAACTGCCTGGACTTCCGGATTTTCCTGTGTTTGACATGTACAATGTTACTAAAGAAGTAAGAAAAGGGAGCTTTCCATTTGTTTAAATTCTGCTATTGGATAAATACAAGCATTTGTCTTTATACAATGTTACAGATGCATCAAAAAGAAGTTAATGCATCCATACTGTACTTAATTGAATAAAATACAATAAAGAATCAAGCACATTTGGGAAGAAAAGATGTGAAATTATTAAAAACAGATTAACCATAAAGAAATTGCAGTTAATTACTTCACCCAAGGATTGTATGTTTCAAATTCCAAATGTCCTATTAAGGATTAAAAGCTCTTGCATTTTTGAAAATGTAATATATTACCTTATCAGAAGGTTTGAATGGATTTCCTTGGCCACTTATTCCTCCACTGATACTAAATCCAAGTCCTGGATTCTTCTCTATTCTTACACAAAACTATATATAAAAGATACAGAGTTATGCTGTATTCTTGCATTATTTCGATAATAAATATAAGTGCTCCATTTATTATTGTGTTGTAATTACTGTTATTTTAGTAAGACTGATTTTGGTGACTTTTATTCATTATTTCAGAAAATATTATTCCTAGAGTACCTGCTCCTAGGCCTTTCTCTTTTGAAGTTCAGCAATTTACAGAAAAAAAATATCTTCTGAACTAGAAGGAGTCCTGGTTTGAACGATTTACTTTGGAACATGAAAAACCCTATCAGAATTGCAAATTCTAGGTTTCTGAAGGAGTTTTGCCCATTCCTCTCAGAAACTGTGCTTGCAGGGTGTTCAGTGCTAACCTTGAATTTCTTAAAATTAGAAAGTTGATTGATTCACACATGGAACTAGATATAATTCAGGGGGGGGGGGTTGCTTGTATGCTGATGAGCTGAAAAAAAAGAACAAATTTATAACCCAATCGTAAGTTTCTTGCTAAAGAAAGTTAGACAAAGGTTGCTTTCCCAATCAGATTTTTGGTGTGAAACCACTGCAGTGTGATATATCACGTTGACCTTCCCTCAAAATCTTTTAACAATTCTTTTACCCACATGATATTCTGCAATATACCTGTTCTGGATAACCATCCATACTCCTCTGTCCTTTAGTTTGAATGACACACCTCCCTGCTTGTGGTGCCCGAGAGCTCTGAGATGGGATCTGTATTGGCAACGGTGGCTGATACTGCTGGATTGTTACTTTGTTCATGTTGCCCTCATATGGCTGCTCTCGACTACGATGCTGTAGACTTTGTGACCCCATCAGAGTCTGAATATGGCTACCTGCCTGTGTATAATATAAATCCGTTAGGCCAGTAATGTATATAATCACAAAAAGCAATACATAAAATTTTATATTAATACAAACCTTATCTTAGACTTCAAAGATCAAATGTTAACTTAAGTTGAAAGACCAGTCATAAACCTACTTTTGGGAGGCATTCTAACTTTGGACAGACACTGAATTAGCAGTTGATAAACAAGGACTACCTGCATATCACACATATCAATAAAATTAGGATCATCTTAGCTTTCATGAATTATTTCATGCAATATTCATATATGGTGCAACAAGTCTGGAAACCAGGATTTTATAAAGATAATTCATAATACATAAAAGTATTATTACGAAATTCTGATTTTAAGCAAACTTGAAGTACCATATATGAATAATGTAAATTCTGAAAGATATTTGGCTTACATTTGAATTACTAGGAATTTTAATTTGTTTTGAGTGTGCATTCTAAATTTAACTTTTAAAAAAGATTTTGAAGTCGTATATTTGAAATTTTTAGCTAGTAAAGCAGAAATAAGTTACTCTAGGTCAAATGCAATGAAAAGAGATAAGCTCTGCTAATATTGCATGCTCAAAAAACTCTCAACTGAGAGTGATAGATAATAATGTTTAAATTCATTTTCTCATCTGTTTAGTAATTTGTTTTGCAAATCTTTAATTTAGATATCCTGAGAGAATCTAGTGCATAAATGATATAAAGTCTTTTCCCCCCAGAAAAACAAAGTGAAATAGTCAAATTGAAAGAATATCTTCTATTGTTTCCACTGATCTTATTTATATTGTCTGTATTCTCTTACTAACCTCTATGTGCAAACTTGCACTGTTTAATTTACAACACTATTGTCAAATAGTATAACGAATACTGTAATGTAAGTTGAATAAATTGTCCCCTGGGACTAATACATTGATAAACAGCATAAATAAAAATGCGAGTAATCATGCTTATGATTGGTTTTTAAATTAGAAAAGGATGAAACAAATTGTGCGCTTTCTTTCCACATCCCTTTCTTTAAATATACTTTCTCATTTCACATCAGTACACAGGAATATGTATTAGATTAGGCAAGACGCATCATCCTCATTATCTTTTTCTCAAAGTCATTCCTTGAAAGCAGGAAATGGAAACTTACCTTTCTCCTATCATTGTTGCCTTGCAACTTTTATTTGGAAATATGCTATTCCTAATTATGGAGGTGACATGACTAGTCCTTGACAGATAACGTCTTTACATTCTTTACATTCAAGAGTACAATTTATCCAATGTTAAGTTAGCTATCGTATTGTGTTGTGGTAACAAATTCTACAGATTCAGCTTAGTGTGGCTATTGTATCAGGATTATGATTAATGTTAAAAACTTTAATTTGAACTCATTCACTATGTTGAATTCTAGTTTCAAACCATTGCTAAGATTGAATTAATGTAAGTGACAATATAATATTTAACCATGTTTAAATCCAACTGAAAAATGTGCAGTGGAGAAAGCTCATGACACTATGGTTAGTTCCTAGATTTTCATTTATAAATTTGAGATCACTGGGAAGTATCAGATTTAGTTTTATACATGTATATTATTTCAGCATGCATTGTTTATGATATATGTTACCTTTTTAGCAACAGTTTCTGGTGGTACATCTCGCCTTCCAAGTGGATATGGATTCCATTGGTTGCCAGAAATATCTTCCTGTCCATTGTCTAAAATGCTGCTTTGTTGTGATGGGGTCTATTTTTAAAATATTGATACATTACTTAGTCAGAGTAATGCAAGCACCTCTGTTTGATTTACTTACAGTTACTTTATAACTGTAACTGTTATACATATCTTGCAGCATACAATACATATCTTGCAGTATAGTAAATATGCACACACATAAATATCAATTTATACATACGTACTTAGATACATATATTAAAAATGATATACTTTTCTAGGTTGCTAAAAATTGGATAAAGACCTTAATAGACTTCCAAAGAATATGTAGAAGTTTCCAATATCAGAATATTACCATTGTTTAAATATGGTTAAAGTAAAAGGCTTGGTTTCGATTTCTAAATACTTAATAACAAGCATTCATACTATCCAAATGGAAGAAAAATGATCAATTCTTTCTCCCATCCAAAATTTAATGTTAGAATGGAACTATAGTTATTTCAAGCTGCTCCGTGTCGCTATATCAGTGTGATTGGTGGCAGATAAATAATGAATGAATGAATGAATAGGTAAATAAGGATTGTACAGGTAGTCCTCAACCTATGATAACAACTGAACCCAAAATTTCTGTTGCTAAGTGAGACATTTATTAAGTTAGTTTTGCCCGATTTCATGACCTTTCTTGCCTCAATTGTTAAATAAATCACCACAGTTGATAAGTTAGTAACCTGATTGTAAAGTGAATCTGACTTCCCCATTAACTTTGCTTGTCAGAAGGTCGCAAAAAGGGATCACATGACCTTGGGACACAACAATGGCTATAAATATGAATCAGTTGACAAGCTTCTGAATTTTGGGGATGTTGTAAAAACAGACCCAAATCACTTTTTTTAGTGCCGTTGTAACTTTGGTCACTAAATAGACTGTTTTAAGACGAGGACTACCATAGCAATATAATCTTTGTGGTCCCATAGTAACTTTTATGTTATAAATATGAAAGGGCTGGTTTAAATAGAGAAAGAATTAAGAAAAGAGATTATATGACATCCATCATGATAGGTGAATCATTTCTGTATTTAAAGATTGAGTTACTAATTTTAGATGCATCAAGGAAACAACCCTCTTGCGGACGTGAACGTTGTTACTGTAATATGGTATAATGTTTCTAATGTTCAGAAAATAAAAGCATTTGGAAGCAGATATACAGGTCTATATGAAAACATAAAATTCATAATAATAAAATAATCATAGGAAGAATAATCATATACTCCTGATTAGAGACATAATAAAAGAACTGAATGAACGTTATCAGACTCAAACTTTTTTTTTGCAGGAAAATTTTACATATCAGAAAAAAAGTGGCTTAGGTAGAAATTGCAAACCAAATGAGCCTTGAAAAGATACAACTGCTTTAGTTTGAAAATTTTGTAATGCTTTTTCTGAATTTCTTGTACAGCCCTTTTTCCCCTAACTTTAATGAATCTTTAATAAATGAATGAATTTTCATTAGAGAGTTTTACATGGAGACTTGATAGCCATTTTATTAAGTGAACCTTTTAATCAAGGAATGTCCAATTCACAGGAAGATCAACAGATGACTGAAATTAATGATTAAACTACTCATAGTATTACCAAAACATCTTATTATGCATATTTTGATTGCTTGTAAAGAAGCAATCACATGCTTTTTAATAACACACTCATTTCCTTTCTTTGGTTATAAATATTCTTGGTATTATCAGCCTTAGTTGATCAAAGCAAATAAATATGCACATATTTTATACTTTAAAGGTGGGAGACAGGAATCATAAATGTATTTAAGTCAAATCCTGCAAAGATTTTAGTAAATTTCTAATCCAAAGGAAATCCTTACTTTAGAACAGGGGTGCCAAACTCACATCATCAGGGTGGCATCACGTGACATATTGGGACTCCCTCCCCTTTGCTAAACCGGGCATGACCATGGCCAGTGTGACGCATCCAGCCCATGGGCCGGGAGTTTGACAGTCCTGATCTAGAACATTTCACTGTATGTTTGGGAACAAGCCTTAAGCAACACAGTCTGGCATGAATCCAGTGTCTGTATTTAAAGGAATAGCTACATCCAATTTCATTTTAAGTGGGTAAACAAGAGCTTGCAATGAGATAGAAGTATTCTATTTATACTCCATTCTTACACGACATAGTCTTAAGTTAAAATTTGATTAATATTTTCCATTAATAGGAGAGAATCATATTAAGATATTAGAATTACATTACATGAAAACTACACAAAATAGTTAAATTTAAGGAAAAATTCATTAGTTCTTCCAATTTCAAGTTAGCAATGCAAAATCAGCTCAATGATAAAAAAAAGAATATGTATCAATGGGGAAAATCAAAGTGTTATAATTATTTCAATGCCAGGACCCACTAGCTTATTTCAGTGATGTCCAACACCTTTTTATACACTGAGAAAAAACATATACCTGCTCACAACAAGATGGTTCTTTAAAAATAAGAAGAAAAGAAATCAAATGAAAGTAAATTATTAATGTTGCTAATTCTAAAAAGCACGAAGATAGGGCTCAATATCATAAGTATATGCAGAAATGCAAAGTGGATAAGAGTCAAAATGTGCATTGCAATATCATGATGCAAGTCCCATTACTTGCGTAATTGTGTTCAGTGTCAGGACACAGGTACAAAAGAATACTGTATTCTTTAATTCATATCCTCTTTTCAGAACATCTTTTGCCCATTTGTGTGTACTCAAATGAGTTAAAAATATTTTGAATCTTATAATATATTTTGGAATACCACTTACACAATCAGGAGCCTATTTCTTTCCAAGAAACTGACTGGATGAATTTGAACTTCATTCAGAACTTTCTGTAAAATGTTGTGGGATATATTTCATCTGAATTTTTAAATACACGTGGGGTTAGATACAACATATAGCTAACTCTACAACAGTTTACATACAGAAACACACAAATACAGTAAAAGATGTGAGCAGGACATACATTTGACATTTCTCTTGAGTTAAAGTTATAAGCTAGACTTAATCAGGAATGTAGTATCTATAGATTCTGATTCCTGAAATGCTATCTTAAATTAAATGAATTTGTAATGAACTTTTGGTAGTAACATTAGGCAGCTGAATGGTATTAACACCCCTGACATCTCTAAACATTGACAACATGAAACGTAACTCTTAGATCTTTCTGGTTAACATATGGAGTTCTGTACATCAGTCTGCAAGAGAAGAGCAGAAAGCAGCATGACTGAGATGTGGTGAGCCAAATTACTTGGAGAAGCAGAGAGGTCACATGGGCAAATTAACTTTGCTTTTTGGGTCGCTTTTAGGCCACAAGCATGAATAATAGAAACGAGCTAAAAAGAGAGAGGGGTATGGAGAAGTATTTATTATGTGACTTTGATATATGCAAGCTATCTCATACTTACTTTCGGTAGAGGTAGCTCTTGATGCATTTGATTTTCAAATTTAGATTTAGTCTGCAAGTTTAATGTCATGCTTCTGCCCGCATGCATTGCTGACAAACCTCCAGAGCGCAGCATGCCAAGGTTAACAGTGTTGTGTTTATAAGCAGCAGTCTGAGTAGAGGAAATAACAATCACGTGACGAGATATGAACACACATGCTTATTCAGAAAAAACACTGCACATATATGATTTTCACATAGTCTCAATTAAAGCAAACAAACAATACCAAGAAAAAAGGAGCTTATTTATGCATGCGCTGTAAGACAGAAGCACAGAGTGCTAGTTGTACATAAAATGGTTACAGTACCATAAAAAGACACTGACATAAAAAAGCAATTCATACAAATGATCTCTAAATCATAGTTAAGATACAAAACCAAGTTAACTTTGTGAGGAAGGAAACACTGAGATGCTTTATTTACCTCTTTACAATAAAATATCGTATATCATCTCAGAAACTAAATAAATTGGGAAGGAAATGCAGAAGGTTTGAACCACCAAATTTGGTGAGAAGACAAAAATGTTTAAAAAGTCAAATAAAATAATACTTTGTGAAAAAGCTTAACTGCACCAAAACATGATGTGGCTGGATATTTGAAACTTTTACAACTGACATATTACTCCCTAAACATCAGTAATCCAAGTAGGTGAATTTCACACAGAACACAAGACAACATTTATTAAACTTGACCATCAAAAGCTGTATCTTAAAATTGAATTTACTCAACTTACTGCTGTATATTGGAACGTACAGTATATTATTTCAATGTTGATCATGATGAATATATACTGGCACAAGATTATACGTTATCTACTATCTAGAATCTAATTTAGAAAAAGGACAGAGATCCTTACTTACTCCATTCCTGTTAGGTCTCAAAATGGACTATGCTGATTTAGTATATTCCTATACAGGTAATTCTCTAATTATGATTATAATGGAGTTCATCACACTCATAAATCATGCTGGTTGTAAATTAGGCAACCCACATTGCCAACCTGACTTTACAACCTTTTTTGCAGTATTGGTAAGCGACTACCAAAGTCATTAAGTGACTGCTGCAGTCATTAAGCAAACATTAAGGTCGTTAAGTGAATATTGTGAGTGCGAGTTGCAGAGTGCCCAAACTGCGGTCACATGACTGGAGTGGCAGCTGTAGTAACTTTGAATCTGGGTCTTAGGTACTCGTAGTATAGTCTGTCATAACTTCAAACAGTCATAAATCAAGGACTACCTGTACTAAATAATGATAGAAATTCTGGTACATAAGAGAATTCTTATCTAGACAGCTAAAACACAATCGTATGCTAGTGTTATCCTACTGTATAAGGAAAGGTAGTATTGAGAAGGAGATTTGGACCATGAGGAGGTACTTATCTAACATGTATTGGCATCTGTTTAAAGGAGCTGCATCTTTCTTGGGGTCCTTAAGCAATCTCTGAAGCCAGTTCAACTGGTAACCAGTATAACTCCGGAAAGAGGTACGTTCATTTCTGCCAGTACAGCCGTATTCTACATTGTGGATCAGCTGTAAGTTTCCACATGCTACGTATTTATTTTCATATGTCTTTATTTAAAGTATGTATATGCAGTCTCATGTCCAACAGTTTGGATTACACTATTTGTGAGGTAATTAGGGCAGGATTACAGGCAGTCCTCCACTAACAACTATTATTGAGCCCAAAATTTCTGTTGTTAAGCAAGTTGTGCCCCATTTTACAACTTTTGTTTAGATTTAGATTTTTTAGATTTTATTGAACATTTATATGCCGCCCTTTTCCCTGAGGGGACTCAGGGCGGCTTACAACAATGGGGGGAAGGGAGTGCAAGACAAGACTTAAAAGAAAAAGAAACGTGAATAAAAGAAATTAACCATAAAAACACAACATTCACTCAACATTCGGGCGGGGTGAGAATAATCCTATCCCCAGGCCTGACGGGATAGCCACATCTTGAGGGCTGTGCGGAAGGCCTGGACTGTGGTGAGGGTACGGATCTCCACGGGGAGGTTGTTCCATAGTGTCGGAGCTGCAACTGAGAAGGCTCTCCTCCGTGTAGTCGCCAGTCGGCACTGACTGGCGGATGGAATTCGGAGGAGGCCTACTCTGTGCGATCTGATGGGACGCAGGGAGGTAATTGGCAGGAGGCGGTCTCTCAGATAGCCAGATCCACTACCATGGAGCGCTTTATAGGTGGTAAGTAAGACCTTGAAGTGCACCCGACGATCAACAGGTAGCCAGCGCAGCTCACGGAGGATCGGTGTTATATGGGCGAACCGTGGTGCGCCCATGATCACTCGCGCGGCCGCGTTCTGAACTAGCTGAAGTCGCCGGATGCTCTTCAAGGGCAGCCCCATGTAGAGCACATTGCAGTATTCCAGCCTAGAGATCACAAGGGCTCGAGTGACTGTTGTGAGAGCCTCCCGGTTCAGGTAGGGCCGCAACTGGCGCACCAGGCGAACCTGGGCAAATGCCCCCCTGGTCACAGCCGACAAATGGTGGTCAAAACTCAGCTGTGGATCCAGGAGGACTCCCAAGTTGCGGACCCTGTCTGAGGGGTATAAATTTTGCCCCCCCAGCCTGATTGATGGAACGTTAGCCAAATTTTTGGGAGGAAAACACAACAGCCACTCGGTCTTTTCCGGGTTGAGCACCAGTTTGTTAGCTCTCATCCAGTCTTTAACAGCCTCAAGGCCCCGGTTCACAGTTATTAAATGAATCACTGCAGTTGTTAAGTGAATCATGTAGCTGTTAGTTAATCTGGCTTTCCACAATGACTTTGCTTGTCGGAAGCCAGCTGGGAAGGTTATAAATGGTGATCACATGACTTCAGGATAATGCAATTTTCATAAATACTTGTCAGTTGTGAAGTGCCTGAATTTCGACTATGTGATCATGGAGATGCTGCAATGGTCACGTGAAAACTTGTTGTAAGTCACTTTTTTCAGTGCTGTTGTAACTTTGAACTGTCACTGAATGAATGGCTGTAAGCTGAGGACTACCTGAATCCAAAGAGTCTCTCAAACCAGGACTGAGTGCAACTGATGCACAAGATGAATCTGTGTCAAGGCCTTCTTGGCTACAGCTGCTATCTACTCGTTGACCAAGAGCTGCAACTCTTCAGGGGAGAAGTGCAACCCAATTTATGACTAAATATAGATGATAGATAGATAGATAGATAGATAGATAGATAGATAGATAGATAGATAGATAAAGGGGAAGGGGAACTGGTGCAAATATCTACAATCCCTTGGCTTTATTCAAGTCCATTGCTCCCCTTAACTGCCAACCTCTAGACATGTACCCAGGATGACAGCATCACAGAGAAAGTTATAAGCACTGCTAAAAACCTTTCTCGAATGTCATATTTGTATAGTAATATCTCTTAATACAATACAATACAATACAATACAATAGCAGAGTTGGAAGGGACCTTGGAGGTCTTCTAGTCCAACCCCCTGCCTAGGCAGGAAACCCTATACCGTTTCAGACAAATGGCTATCCAACATCTTAAAGACTTCCAGTGTTGAGGCATTCACAACTTCTGGAGGCAAGCTGTTCCACTGATTAACTGTTCTAACTGTCAGGAAATTTCTCCTCAGTTCTAAGTTGCTTCTCTCCTTGATTAGTTTCCAGCCATTGCTTCTTGTTCTACCGTCAGGTGCCTTGGAGAATAGTTTGACTCCCTCTTCTTTGTGGCAACCCCTGAGATATTGGAACACTGCTATCATGTCTCCCTAGTCCTTCTTTTCATTAAAGTAGACACACCCAGTTCCTTCTTCTTTTTAAAAGAAACACAAATGCCAAATTATATTCATTCACACACACATTAAAAGAAAAATAAAACAAACTAACCAAAGAATAATGTTCATAGCTTGCTATAGCCAATTCTTCTTGCTTTTCTTTTCCCTAGCATTCAGATTTAGGATCGACAGTCAATCTTAGATCTGAGCCTTTTAGCAGCATGTAGAAAAACAAAACAAAAAACAAAAACAAACCTCAAGAAATACAATATCTGTTTTTCTTTCTGCTTTCTGAGCTCCCTTTCTGTGTTCTCTAAACTAATGCATTTTCTCCAGAGATTAGAATATGATCTTTGTTGTTCAGAATAATGAATCATTGAAGCACATTTTTTGATCATCTATTTTGAATTATAATTTTTCCACTAATAGTCACCTTGTCTCCCATGCTCCTATGTGAGATTGCAATTAATTTGAGCATTGGAAAATAACTTCTTTATTTGACTAATTGTGGGTTAAAATTTTAGTCATTAATTTAAGCACATACGTTTTTTTTTTTAAAAAGGATCAAGAGACTTCAGGCAAGCAATGTGGAAAACAAACGTGCTGAAAAATATAATTTAAATCATAGCCCCATTATCTACAGCGTTTTTGTGATGAGGTGACATATGACAGTCAGTTTTGTGTAAGGTTAAGGTGATGGCATAAAAAACCAGGACCCTGTGAGTTCTAGCCCTGCTTTATGCATTAAAGCCAGCTGGGTGACTTCAGGCCAGTTACTTTCTCTCAGCTAACCAACCTCTCATTGTTATTGTAGTGGGGAAACAGGAACTGGAAGGAGTACTAAATATGTTTGCTGCTTTGAATTACTTTTAAAATAATAAAAGTGGGATAAAAATTTAATGAATAAATATGTACATACTGTACTGATGGTGCTTCTCATCTCGGAGGGAAGCTGTTCTATCAAAGGATAGAGCTCCATGTCCATAAATATATGAATAGTATAGGTGATCAATACTGCAATATTTACTTATCATATTTATCCATTTACATAATTTTAATTCTTTGTTGGTGTAATGAATAGAAGGAATAACTTTGAAGACTGGAGGAAGACACGCAATTAAAATAATGGTCATATGAAAGAAATTTGAGTGTAGGGAAAAACTGTAACCTGAGGAAATATCTCACACAAAGTGCTTCCTATTTATCATAAGATAAAGGAAGAGAGGAGTGAAGCGCATTCAGACTTGCAAGATTCTGTTTCTATAAGCTTATAATAAATGTTAGTTCAAGTCCCATCTTAGCCATCAAAGCCAGCTGGGTGACCTTGGCCCAGTCACTTTCTCTCAGCCGAACCTATTTCACAGAGTTTTTGTTATGGGGAAAATAGGAGGAGGAAGATATGCTGGATATGTTTGCCGTCTTGAGTTATTTGTAAAAATAATAAAGGTGGGATACAAATAAATAAATAAATAAATAAATTAGTATGCATGATTTATCTAGAAGGGTTGACAAGTCTCTCACTTGTCATTCATTAATGAGGGGTGGACGGAGGTTGGTATGCTGCTCATTCCCAAAGTCTCTGGGCCGCCAACAAGATAAGCATAAAATAAAAGGCAATTCCCTCATAATGATAAGTAGTAACTATACGAAATTATGTTCCTGCAAAATTCCAACCTTCACTCACAATGTATCTCTTTTATGTGCTATATGGAACAACCAGGTCCATGAAGCCCAGGATGAAAGGCACAAAAAGGAACTCCACAGGAGGGAATTCCAAAATAATGGGAGCAGCAATTGAAGATGCCCACTTCTGAGGTCCCATCAGATAGTCTCCTATTAGATGGGGCCTGGCAGGACTTGACTATTCAGTTTGATTATAACAGGCAGATAAATACAGAAAGTGGTACCTTAGAAAACTTGATCTGGAGTCATCTAAGGTCTTAAGGGTGACAATACCTTGAATTGTACCTAGCCAACACAGCTCTCAAAAGCAATGTTGTCTACCAACTACATTAGGATGTCCATCCTTGTTTGGGCTGCTGATTTTTGTATCAGTTGTAGCTTTTCAAGGAGGGGCAATTACAGAGCCCATGATGGTTATCCTAGTGAGAGGTCACTATGTCATGTGACTGTTTATGAGCTTATCAATTCTACTACTTTCCACTTCTATGGTCATATTCACTCACATTCAAATTATTTTCCTGCAGAAAGTTTCAACTGTGTGTTAGTTGTAGAAATATGCATTTATAATCCTGAATGGAAAAGTGAAGGTGAAGGGAGACTGTTTGTATTTTGTAAACTTCTACTTCCAAACTTTTAATCTCTGTAAAGGTATCAGTATTTCATTTTCTAAATTACTTTCCAATATGGCTATTTCAATGATAAGTTAAATCACTTTGATTAAACATTTAGTAAGTTCTTAAACACTTTCAACTAGGTTAAACCCATGCAGGTTTTGAGTTGTCATTTTCTGATGATTTAGCACTGAAATTACAATCAAAAACATTATAAAATAAAAACATAGGATTATAACAGTGTATATTTCTTTTGTCCATGAAAACTAGATAAGCTAAAAATAAGCTCTGTGATATAGTTGCTTTCCACATATGCAGTAACAGAAAACTAAAAAGACTGTATTAGTTGTTATAACCAGATAGATAATTTAGCTCTTACTGAAGTGTAATCTTATTTTTTGAACATATTAATATTTTTTACACTTTAACTACAAAATGCAGTTTAAGACAAAAACAGTTCTGCAATTCTTTCAGTGTAGTTCAGTGTAATTATCTAAGGACATCCTGAGATGTTCCCTTTTCTTATACATGATTATAAAGTTATAATTTCAGGTGGAAATTGTATTTTTTAATTCTTTCAGTAGGATAATGTTATCCTACTGAAAACTGCTTATGAGTTATAAGTGGCATGTATTTTGCATGGAATTCGTAGTTCTGGGAATAATGAATTCATTTCACAATGAAAACAGCAGCAAAGGAAAGACATAGTTAAAATTTCCCTGCAACAGTGTCGTGCTGAAATACACCAACTTCTATTGAGTGAATCTGTACATCTACTAGATAAAATTTGTTAGTGAAGAACATCATTTTTATGTTCATTTGTAATGTAACTTGGAGTTGGCCAACTCTGAGGTTTTTTTGCTTAAGTAAAGTTTATAAGTATACCTAGATATACTGTAAATTAAACTTAAATCAGTTAATTTACTTTCAAATACATTGGTTTAAGTATCAGAACATCAACATGTAATTAATTCCTGTGATTGATCTTCTATTGTGGGTAAGGAAATCAACAAATTAATCTGCCATGACTGAATGGCAGATCAATCCTTGTGCAACAAAAGAGAGCCTTATTCATAAACACAGAAAAAACTCAGTGATTTTAGTGGGTTTCGGTGGATGTCCTTCGGAACTTTGGATTCAGCGAAATCTTTCTGGACCACTAATATACCATATTTTTGTTTGGAATTTATCCTGTCATTTTCTCTTTATAATGTAAAAAAGTAGAATATAAATAGAGCCTCAGTTTAGTAATGTCTTGATAAATATTTTAACTTAAAAAAATACAGTGTCATCACTGAAGCATTATTTGAAATATTTTTAAAAAATATAAGTGATGTTTTTCCTCAATTCTCACTTCAAGAATTCCTGAAATGTAAACACATTTATCTATCTTAACAGAGAAATGCTCATAATATTAACAAATAGCATATTAATCACTGCAAACAAAAATTTTGAATATAAAAAAACTCAAGGCATGAATTACAAAGAAATGTCAGACATACCCTGTCTAACCTTCTAGCTTCTATATGTCTAAGTAGCTGTTGTCTCCAGTCAGCAGGCATTTTACCGCAGCTCTCATTGCCTTTCACAGGAGTAGGCCTTGTCTTTAAATCAGGGTTATCTGATGGCTTCTCACCATAGTTACTCAAATTATAGTCAGACGGTATTTTTTCCAACAGAGCTGCCATTGTCGGCCTAGCTGAAACTGGCCTGGTTTGGGAGGTACCATAACTCTCTGTACTGTAGCTTCTTGCAGACAAAGGTCTCCTTTGTGTTAAGTTTTTAACAGGGAAGCTTCCAGACTGGGTTTTCACTTCTTGATATGAAGGGTGTTCATCTTCATACCTGCCATTTCTTTTGAGAAACTGGGATTCAGACACTGAAATGTTGCTTTGGCGTTCCATAGCTCCTCTATACTGATGTCTGTTATACCTATCGCTTTGAGGCATTTCATGAGGCTCACTGACTCTTCTATATGTGGACATTTCAGTGGAGCTGGCCAATGAATCTGCTCTTCTTAAAAATCCAGCCCTTGATCCCTGACTTGTCAACTGGGTATTGACAGTCTCTTCGTTAACAGAAGGCTGTGAGAAGGAAAACATGTGTTCCATGGGTGGATATCCTCGGTAGGCTCTGGGACTAACCAAATCCTTAGAGACATTTTTTGTCTGTTGGGGAATGTATTCTGGAGTATGTTGGAAAGGGGGCGGTAGTCTCTTTTCAGCTTTCACTTCTACTGATCCTTGAGGATTAAAACTTTGGTCAAACTGGTATACTTTTTTAGTCACAGAGGGCTTTTGCTGTTGTTGGATCTTTACATTTCCGTAAGTCATCATTTCATCATCAAGCATTGGCACAGACTGGCTACGGGACATACTAGACATTCCATGTTCTGCCCCCAACATCTTATCTTGTCTGTCATGTATCCCTGCATTATCAGTAGTAGCTGCATAGTTCTCTAGTGGTATGTTATAAACTTTATATGCACCAATATCTATCTCATCTATACTTTGTGATTTCTTAAACCGGCTTGTTTTTAAATCTCTCATCATTGGAGAAAGTCTCTCTGTACTTTTGCTGATGGAAATAATATTTTTAGAAAGCTCTGGGCGACAGTGAATGTGTGAAAAGACATTGCTGAGACTTCTGTTAGTGTTGGAATCATGATATTCCCATGGTGTACCTGGAGAAAAAGTACTAGAGATTTCAGGAGAGTCTTTAACAAGGTCTTTCCTTTCAGGTAAAGGGCTACTACTAGGGGTGATCTCCAGCTTAGAAGGGAAAGCTGTCCTATCTTCAAAGGGGCTGGGTGTTCTTGTCCAGTTCTGCCAAGGGTTTGATGGAGGCACTTCTGAGTCAGGGGTATTTCGGATAGTGGGTTGCTCAAGTTCTAGGGGAATACCAACTATCCTGTCTTGCCTGATTAAAGGCCTGCGTCCATGAGCAGATGTGCTTCTTGATTTGGAACTTAAGAGAGGATTAGTGCTAGGATTCTCCACCGTGTTCTCCTCGGCCACAAATCCCGTGTTATCATAGTGAGAGCTGTCATTCCAACTGTCAGCAAAGGTATCACTCATTGGACGTCTATCATTGTGTTGCTGTAAATTTCCTGCTGGAGCAGATTCCCGCTGACTGAGTAATGGCTTGGTCTCAAGGGGTTGTGGGAAAGATTGGACAAGCCTGCAAGAAACAAATATTTTAAAAAAACCTGCATCAGAAAACAATCAGTTACAGCAGGTTAAAATGTTAACAAATACTTGGTCATTATTGCATACATAGTTTAACCAATCTATTACTGAATGGAATGTTAATCTAGACTGGAATGGAATACGGAAATTGATTGGGTAATCTGTTAATGCCAAAGTTGATTTGTTTTAAATTCTGCAATAGACAAAATATACAAGCAGAACCGACAAATTTTTGGAACAATGAGGCCAATAAACTTGTAAGCTATATTAATGTGCTTAACTCTTTCTTTGTTATCAATAAAATCCACCTTGGAATGAATTATTTTCCATACAAATAGCAGAACTGGAATGAAGCAGAAATTGGATGGGGAGGGAGGGAAAGAGAAAAGTAATAGAAAAGCAAAAACAATTTCCTTCCTTCCTTCCTCCCTCCCTCCCTCCTTCCCTCCCTTTGTAATAAATTCAGGAATACATTTATATACTAAAGGAATTTAAGCACATAGCACTGAGCTTACCATCAATGTCAAAGCCTCTTTCAAAAAGTAATTGGCTATAACCCTGAAGGAATAATATTGCCCAGCAGTTAATTTAAACAGGTGTATATTGATTGAGAAAAACTAGATGACACATAATCATTACATAACCTTCTATGGCCTTTGATTAGTATTTTCAGTAGAAATAGTCCCTTTGGAATTTATGAAAGGTAAAAGAAGTTTTGATTTTTGATTCATTCATGAAGCATACCAAAAATCTGAATTCTGGATAGAAGAATCTCAGAAAAATCAGGAATCAAAAGACAAGAATTAGGTCCTAAGCATTATTGTCTGAACAAGCCCATGCTTTCAGAGAGTACTCTCAGTTTTTTTTTAAATGTAGGATTTACTGATTTCTTTTTAGTTCTGTTTATTTAAGCTTTTTGGTTAAATAAACTATATACAGTAGGGCAAAAAAGTATTTAGTCAGCCACCAATTGTGCAAGTTCTTCCACTTAAAAAGATGAGAGAGGCCTGAAATTGACATCATAGGTAGACCTCAACTATGAGAGACAAAATGAGAAAACAAATCCAGACAATCATATTGTCTGATTTGGAAAGAAATTTTTTTTTTGCAAATTATGGTGGAAAATAAGTATTTGGTCACCTACAAACAAGCAAGATTTCTGGCTCTCACAGACCTGTAACTTCTTCTTTAAGAGGCTCCTCCATAGTTGAGATCTACCTATGATGTCAATTACAGGCCTCTCTTATCTTTTTAAGTGGGAGAGCTTGCACAGTTGGTGGCTGACTAAATACTTTTTTGTCCCACTGTATCCCTATAGTCAACTTGAGTTCAATCAAATAAACACACCTGTTACCCCACAATGAATTATTCACTGCATCTTTAGCTGTAGTCTGCAAAGATCCTATTTTAACATGAGCATTAGAAGACCCAGAAGATGCTTGCGATGGAGAGTAGTCTGAATAGGTTCCTGAAGAAACACTGTTATTCCTGCAGTGAATTTTATCGGCTTCAGATTCATCCGTTGATTCTGGAGAAAACAAAGTAACTTGTTAATATGAAATAAAAAATTTAGGGATGAATGTTTAGGAAAATAAATATATATATATAAATATAAATATATTTATATATATTTATATATATATAGCAATAGTACTGACTTACATACACTTCACAGTACTTTACAGCCCTCTCTAAGCAGTTTACAGAGTCAGCAAATTGCCCCCAACAATCTGGGTCCTCATTTTACTAACCTTGGGAGGATGGAAGACTGAGTCAACCTTGAGATGGTGAGGATCAAACTTCTGGCAGTCAGCACAATTAGCCTGCAATACTGCATTCTAACCACTACACCACCACACCTCTTCATATATACAAAAGATATGTTATAATTAAAGCCAGAAAAGTGATTTCCCATCCTTTTCTGTTCTGTTCTGTTCTCTTTAGCCATATATCTGCTTCTGCTTGGACTCCACATAAAAAACAAATGCAGCTAATCAGTATTATCTTCTGCTTGGTTTTCTATCTTCAGTCACATGGGACACTTCTAGAGATGATGGCAATCAATTAATGCAGATTGCCTTACACAGCACATTGATTTTTTATTATACTTTTGCGCTTTGCTTCTCACACTTATACATATGGTTGTTAAAATATCTATTTTTCTTTGATTAAAATATATTAATTGTATTGATAGGAAGGAAGAATTGATTTTTTGTTTTGCTACTGAAACAGCATTCCACACCCTGCATGAGCTAAAGCAAACTGCAAATGTCACAGACAAGATGGCCAGGTACTTTGCTTGAAGATGGATCAGTTGTCTTTCCTCAGTAAATAAAAGTACTGTAGCTATTATCAAGATATATTACTATGCAATATCTTCTCAGCTACAACTTCAATATGATGAAATGTTCATAATAATCTCTGACCTCTGTATTATAAAATTACTTATAATTTGGTGAGTAAGCAGCTACGCTATTCTATTCAAGATTCAGGATCACTCTGATGTTTTATAATTATATACTTAAAAACATTTATCACATACCACATTTCTGTATAAAGAACAATAGCAGTTCTGCATCGTTCTTCACCCATTATCTTCAGTTATGACACCTTTTTTTTCTTATGACACAGGCGTTCAGAAAAACCAAGTACCTTTTTTTTCTTTTCCTAAGAGAACAAGCTTTGGTTGATATAATGGTGCATCAGTCATTGAGGGGCGAAGTTCTCCTATCCTCATGTCATTCACTGGGTGTACAAAAGAATCCTATAAATTGGAATTATATTGGAGAATTGAATAACATACAGACACTAACAAAGATGCAATTTTCAGTGGACTTTAAACTATACTTTTATGAGAACTATGAGTACTAAGTACATTCACTAGTGGCAAATATTATCTGGCATAATTCAGTATTAAAATTATCCAAAACATTAACCTACATATTAAAAATCAAGAAGCATGACTAGCAAACTCATGCTCACAAAAGCATGACATGCCCCCAGCCTAATACAGATAATTAGACAGCTTGGAACTACTGAGAGCCTGCTGCCTACTTGTCTCCATAGTTCCATGCTACAGAGTATACTTGAATAGTCTTTGGAACTGAATCCTGCTTGCCAGAACTCTCCACCTCAGGGACTTCTCAGCCAAGACCAAGTGAGCCAAGTCCTGATCTGAGAGATACTGAGTGCACGGTCAGAAAGCTACATAGCACAGAAGTGCTAGAAAACTGTATGTTTTCGCATGAAAATAGATGAGCTACTACAAGATGTTTGATGAGTCTCAGCTGTATGCTAAAAATGAACCTAGGGTGAAATATCTTAACCTTCTCTTGCATGTGGAAATGATTTTTACACTGGAAGTATTACTTGTTTTACTGTAGTTAGAATGTTCCTTTTAGACCTTTAGACCTTATTGTTTGCTTATTTTTCTGAGATCCTCAATTTGTTTGGCATTTTAGATTAGTTTCCTATATCTTCTGTTGCAGCATATGCTGCTTAAGGTATTTAAAGTCAAACTTGATTACTTCCTATTTCTTGCTGTTGCTTTTTTCTCAATTTACTTCTGTTCTATTCTATACCTGGCTGAAGAATTTTATAACTGGTCAGGTTTCAGGACAAGCAGAAAACATGATAATTTTTACTATTTCTTTAATTTTCATCAACTCATTTCTCCCTGCAATTGATTGCCATTCTGGATGACAGTTAAACTATACTGACATTATTTTCATATTATTTTCATATTATACCACCAAGGTTCTTGTTTACTAACATTCTTTTTTTTGTTATCTGTAGTAATGGTTTAACAATGGTTTTATTTAGTTTTTACTATTAATAAAATACTTTTTTTAATAAAATGACTTGTGCGCAGAAACTCATCTACCTGTGCAATTGGTTTCTAATGTATGTGCAAAACTGCTGAACGAACACTCCATCTTAAAATTAATGATTATATTTCTCTCATAAGTCAAAGAATAATGCATATGTCTTTAAATGGTTATGAAGCATTCTATCTTCTATATCTATCTTCTCTTGAGAAAACCAACTTTTCTATACATCATCTATTTTGGACCTTCTAGATCTAGAAGTTCTCCAGATCTCCAAATCAGTATAATAATTACTAATAACTATTGGATAGTTATAGCAATAGAGACAGAAGACAGACAGACAGATACTGCTTCAATCTTAAAATCATTACTTTAAAGAGCACTGGTGTTTATTCTTTGTTACCTCCACTGACAGCTCTTTTGTTGCCATGGGCCACTTATGCTCAAATTTGTCTTTCACAACTTGTTCTGCACTGGCAGATGGTGCTGAATTCTCAGGCCTCACTCCATGGGTAGATTTGCCCACCAGATTTTGAACAGATTTCACCATGTTCTTTAAATCTTCTGGATATGGAGTTGGATAACGCTTTAAATTTATTTCAACCTGAATATGTAGTTAACAAAATAAATTAAAAGTAGAAGCAGAAAAGAAAAATAATAAGTTAAAATTTTCACTTTGATTATCACAGAGATATGCATTGCAAAACACAGACAGTGAATTTAGGAATTTGAGACAATGTTAACATAAAACGTCTGCTACACTGCACTTTTTGAAAAGCAAAAGCCAGGATCACTTTTAATAGGGTGGTGCAGAATTCCCATCCATTGTTGTCAGTAATAAAAATTTGATTTAAATTATACCATGATAGTTATGATGCAAAATATTCCTCTAACAGTTTAGGCAGATTCTAGAAATTCACTAATATGTGGAATGTCACTGGATCTATAGCACAGTATTGTGACTGCTTATCTGAATATACTGAAGCAACCCCAAAGAAGCCTAATTGTCCTTAAGTCCATAAAAGCAATGAAACTTAAGTGAATTGCATTCAATATTGAACAATTATTTTCCTACTCTGATAAATGGGAGTACTTGAATAAACTGCGACACTTTATTAACCACAAACATAAAAAATAGATGTACAGCCAAGATTCCAAAGCATACACAGCTTAATAGGCATCCATTCAAAAAAGCTTGACTGATATGAAAAATACAAACTATGGTACAAACTTACACTCAATGTTGAAGTATAATAAAATACGCATTACAGACAAGCACATCCAAACATAGACCTCAGTAGCAAATATAAAATATTGCATAACGTCAATGTACAGGTCCAGCACAAGAACTACTTAACTGTAATGAGTGGATATAACATCACTAAAGCTCTCATTGATAGTCTAAAGACTGCAAATGATGATAGGCTCATCTAAGCACTTGTATTAATACATGACCTGGGCAATGGCTTAACTGATGCCCAATACAATCTAAAAAAACAGGAGGGACATAAGCAAATTGTGCATGCATTGGAAAGGCTACTAAAAATATAAAGTAGCTAAACTAAAACAAACAACGGTATCTGAGTAAAGCAATTTGTCTTAGATCAATATTATTTTTCAGTGATAAATTATTCTCAGATGTGCTAGATAGAAGTAGGGTGAAGATATTCCTATATTAATATTAAAAAGGATAATTACCAATGCAGTCTAGACTCCCTTTCTATTCATGGTCTTTTATGTTTCACATTTAAAGTTACCTCAGAAGTAGCATGCCGCTGGGGATAAAAACCTTCCAAAGTGCAATATTCCTGGATAGAAGAATTTCTTTTTTAATTTCTACTGACAAATTCAATTCAGCAAACAATGATATACTTGACCAAAAGCAAATGTTATAAGAGTCATCAATGCAAATTTGTTATGAAAAAAATCTGTTATAAGAGCTGTCTCAATTAAATGTAAAAAGCAACTTAAAGGTACATAGCAGGCTGCTTTAGGACAAGCATTTTCTTGAAAATCAGGCCTTTGATGTTGACGGTTCTTTTGCCCCTTAAAATAATGCCTTTATATTTACCTAAGAGAAAGATATCTGCAGTGCATACGACAGAGAAGCAAGATATAAAATATTTTGATAAGTTCTAAGAACTTATAACATGAAATCTTTACCCTATGTTACATTACCTGGATGACATTGCAAGAAAATCATTTTTAAAATACCCAAATATTTGCCGGTTAGTAAATATCTAATCAGATATCAAGATAGATAATTGCAATGTGAATTTCTTCAAACATATTTATAATTGTAAGCATTCTCGAGATAAAGAACACACTGACTTTTACTGAAGTGTTATAAATTCATATATCACTGCAATATTTTCAAGTTTCTTAAATTTTAATTTTTGAAAAACTTCCCATTTATTTTGAAAAAGTCCCATTCCCATGGACTTGCAACCTTTTAGGAAAAATGCTGACCTTTTTCTGTATTTACATCTACAGTATGATGAGAAATGAATAGGCATATGTACACTGTCTCTTTAATATGGGGATTTAAAAGAATGTATTTCAATTGTTCCCAGATTTTGAGTTCTTGCAGAGATATTAGTATATTAGCAAATTTTATCATAATAAATCCTCATTATTATCATATTAACAATAATTATAGCTAACAAGAATTTTTCTTAATCCAAATCTGGAATCATATTACAGTTTCAGATTTCAGATAAATTCTAAATGGGTGAATTCATATCAAGTGTGAATAAATTCAGATTATTTTCAGAATCTGATTTGTATTGTTTGTTCATAGGTTTGTGTTCTACTATATATTGTGGTTACCATATTTTTCAGAGTATAAGGCACACCTTTCCCCCCCCCCAAAAAAGACTGAAAATCTAGGTGTGTCTTATACACTGAATACAGCATTTTTGCCTCCCAAAACCCCATCTCCACCAAAATGGCCATGCATAGCTTTTAGGAGGGTTTCAGAGAACTCCTGAGGGCTGAGGAGGGCAGAAATGAGCAAAAAACGGGCTGTTTTCACAAAAAACATGTCATTTTTTGCTCATTCCCCCCCCCCCCGAGCACTCTACAAGCCTCCTAACAGCTATACATGCCCTTTTGTTTTTGGAAAAAAAGGGCCATGTTCGCAAAAAATGGACCGTTTGGGGAGGTTTGCAGAGTGCAAAAACTTTTTTTTATTTCCCTCTTCAAAACCTTGGTGCGTCTTATACTCCAGTGCGTCTTATACTCCGAAAAACATGGTAATTAAATTTTTCAAGTTAATCCTGTCTACTATTAAGGTTAGATTATTTTTTAATCAAATGAAAATCATGGTGGATTTGCTAAAAATCTAAATGCATTTTCACTTTGTAAAAAATTGTAATGTATTGACAAAAATGTATACAGATGTACCGTATTTTTCAGAGTATAAGACACAACGGAGTATAAAACACACCAAGATTTTGAAGAGGTAAATTAGAAAGGTACAAACCTCTGCATGCCCCCCTTTTTTTTTTTTAAAACAGGACATGGAGAGAGTTTGGGAGGTCTGCAAAGTGCTTCTGGGGACCAGAAAGGGCAAAAACATGACACGGGGCTCGATATTCCTAAAGGGTAAGGCTTTTATCGATCTCAAATCCACTCTTCACTATCCCTTCCATGGCAGGGCAGGACTAAACATCACTTTCTGTGCTTTATTTTTTCCCCCTTCTCTCGGACCAGCGGCGACACGGAGCCGCTTGGTCCAAGGAGCGGCAGTCGGCTTGCCATTTCTCTTCAGCAAGGAGGAAAGGACATGCGGGGCTGCTGAACATCTGCCGCTGCATTCGACCAGAAATGGCCCATTGGGTGAGGAGAGGTGGGGATCCCTTCTATTTGGACTAACAGTTCCTTGTGGCAGTGCCTGAGCGGTGAAAGGGAAGCCCGAAGAAAACAACTCGGCAAGGCTGCCACCTTAAATAACTGGGCTTGTTTACAGCCCTTTAATCCTGCTTCCTTAGTCTTGGAACAAAAGCAGGTGCCAGGCTCTAGGGTGCCTCCTGACCTGGGGTTGCCACATTCCAAAGTTTCCTTTCCATCCTGTGCTTCTTCCACTAGCCAAGACCACAATGATGCCAATAGTTTTTTTACCAGAGAGAAAGTGGAGATCTAGCATCCTAAGAAAAGTCTTCATGGAGAGATTGGTTCTCTTTCTTTCCTCTACCTCCTCAATCCCCCCGGATCTGTCATGCAGTGCTTATTGCTATTGCTACTATTGCATCCAGCTACCGTATATCTTTGCTGTATGACAGATCTGGGCGGATTGGGGGGGAGGGTGGAGCAAGGGAAGAGGACCGATTTCCTCTGCACAAAATCTTTTCTCAGGATGCTAGATTGGGAAATTAAAAACCTGGAATGGGGTACAATCAAGTTTGATTCAAAGGCTTTGGCTCCTGAGATCACTGCACTTTCACCCAAAACACTGTTACCGTGATCTCTGCTGCCTGGAATTGCTTGAGAAGGGGCAGGTGAAGTGAGTGCTGAAGAGATCACAGTAATAGCATTTTCAGGTTTCCTTGTATAACATATAGAGATTCAAGAAGAAATTGAAAATAAGAAGGGGTCTTATAGTTAATATACAAAATTCTATGAAAGTAGAATGATATTTTCCATAAGATTGTGAATAAGGTTTCAATATATTGACTATATTATCAATATATTGTATAGGTTTCCTTGTGAAATAAAGGGTTAGGATTAGGGTTTGCAATTTTGAAAAAAAAAGACATTTATGTTAATATGAATTAATTAATTGAATTCTTATGACATTCCCTGTTGTATAATTACTTCTAGTTTGGCTTTGTAAATGAATCTATGCCCCTTTTCTCTCTCTTGCCCTATTTTATATACAATGAATCTTTTTTATTAACCTCTTTAAAATGACAGCTATCTCTTAACTAATAAGAGAAGACATTTGTCAAGTTTAGGCATCCAGTTCCATTGATCATATACTATTCCTGTTTTTTGAAACAGTAAAATATGGCGCAAGAGGCATTTAGAATGCAGTCATTTTAGTTCTGCCAAATCTAATTTGTAAGAAGGCAATATGTAATTTCAATTTCCATACAGTAGGTATTTATAATACTGACGAATATTGCTTTCTTTCTTAATGTCACAAGTCTTAATGGGCCATTATACCAACTATCAAGCGTACTGTGGGCATTAAGACAAAATGGTTATTAGAGGAAAAACATTATTTAAAAAAGAGGATCAGAATCATAGAATGTCCTCACAATGCAGATTTAGAAATATGTAGGTCCATCTTTCATAGCTAACATTGCACAATTCAAGCAAAGTCCCAGAGGACAATCCATATTTCAAAAGATAATCCTATACAATCAATAATATCTCGTATGTATGTATGTATGTATGTATGTATGTATGTATGTATGTATGTATATCTATATGTATATGTATATACTAGATTTTACATTGATACATCGATACATGGAGTAGATATTATTCCAGTGGTTGGGTATTTATAGTATACCCATATAGTATAATGTTGCTAAATAACAACTATCAGTGGATCTAGTTAGTCTGGCTCAAAGTGGAGTACTGACAACTTAGATTCAGCGTGTTCTAGAACAGGATTAACAAACTCGGTTATTATTGACGGCTGTGCCAGGGTTATGTTTGACCTTGGGGGGCTGGGTTGGTGTGGCCAGGGTGGCGTGGCTAGCTTGACATCACTCATATGAGGTGACGTCCCAGGCTCCATTTTTCCTGGGAGAGGCACTGTGGGCCAGACCTTTGCTGTTTCCAGAGCAGCCCCATGGCCAGATCTAAGCACCCCGTGAACCAAATTGAGTTTGACATCCCTGTTCTAGAAGGTCATAGGTATTCCACCCATAATTTATTGTTTTCTATATTCACTGAACATTACTTGAACTGCAACTATAATCGAGAAATGTAATTCCACTTACCTTAACTTTTCCTGCATTTTCCTCTTCTTCCTTTTTTTCCTCAAACTCAAAGGCCACTGTCATACGTTGCTGCCGCTGTTCCTCCCACAGAGTAGGATTAAAACTATCACTATCAGACTGGAAATCTGTAATTAATTTAGAAATGAAGGCTAGAATCAAATAAAGTAGCTAACAAATGTTACTTGCTATTCTTTTAAATTTATAATGACTCTAAATGAAAAGGCACCGTTGCATGCCATGGTTTTTTTGTTCCATTTCTACATTATTCATTTATGGATTCTACGCATTTCTATTTTGCTTACCTATCTTTAGTG